TGACCTGTGGGGGCTTTTAAAGTGTCTTTTATTGACTTTTTGGGGTACTGCAGTTTTTCGCCGTTTCACGGTCGCACGCAATCTGTAAACTGGGCATGTTGGGTATCGTTTTACTCGTTGTAACCTCATCTTTTATATGTCATTTTAAAAATTGGTAATTTGTTGTGTTTTGGGGCATTTAATTAAATTTGTCACTAAATTTTGGGGTTTAATAAGGAGTTGCGCTAATATTGCGCAACATAAAAATTTTCAACTACCACCATTTTATTCTATAGGGTCTTGGCATTCAGAAAATATATAATGTTGGGGGGTTTTACGTCATTTTCAGGCCTAAAATGTGGAATATAACATGGGTGCAAAAATTGAAAAAAGGGCCTCAGTCATGAAGGGGTTAAACTTGTAAAGCCGAATGTTAGCTTTACAGTAGAAGCAATTCTGGCGGCTCAGCCGCCGCCAGATCGCTTCTATGGGCCGGTGAATGGGTCCCCCCTGCCCGACACCCCCACTGACAACCCCCCCGTGTTTCCTGTGCTCCGTTGCCCCTCCTAACAGGCCGGGGACTGGCTTGCATCACTTCAGGTCCCATAGCTGTCAGTGCTGGGCTCCTGAAGCCCAGCTATAAGCTATTGAAGTGTGATCTGCACTTCAATAGCTTGTTGAGAGTGTAAAGGTGATGCTGGACCCCCAGCATCACCTTAAAGAGTACCTGTCACCACCATTTGCTATCACATGGGGCTTGTAAGCCCCCCTATGTGATAGCAATTAAAGAAAAAAAAATAAGTTTTTAAAATTAACATTAAATAAAATAATGTAAAAATCATTAAAAAAACATTTCTTAAAGTCCCCTGCCCCAGCGAGCATGCGCGTGTTCACGTAAAGACACGTCAGGTGTGCCTACATATGAAACCGATGAACGCACTACACATGTTGGATATCGCCGCACAAGCTGGAGTGCAAGCAATAATTCTAGGGCCAGTATTTTTGGGTATCTCTAAACTAATGACCTGTGGGGGCTTTTAAAGCGTCCCCTATGGACTTTTTGGGAAACTGAATAGTGTCGCCGTTTCACGGATGCACGCAATTTTTAACCTGGGATGTTGAGTATCTATTTACTTGTTGTAACCTCATCTTTTATATTTTATTAAACAAATGGGTATTTTATTGTGTTTTTGGGGCATTTAAGTGCATTTTTCACTAAATGTTGGGGTTTGATAAGGAGTTGTGCTAATATTGTGCAACATACAAATTTGCAACTGCCACCATTTTATTCTAAAGGGTCTTGGCTTTCAGAAAATATATAATGTTTGGGGGTTTTAAATAATTTTCAGGCCTAAAATGTGGAATATAACATGGGTGCAAAATGAAAAGAAAAAAAAGGCCTCAGTCATGAAGGGGTTAATAACAACAGAGACATGTCAGGTGTAAAATGTTGTTATACTGAGATACTTACACATGCAGAGTATTCACTTGCTGCTTTCCAGGTGCAAAGTAGTTCAGTGTGCCAACGAAATGCATCCTGGGATTGCTTTGTCATTGAAATGAGATCTCGTTCAAGAAAAAAAAGAAAGAAAATGGCTTTTTTGCCTTTTCCTGGATGACGAAAGAAGAGGGCACAGAAGGAGCAGCTTTTCCCACAGCAAACATGGCCACTCGCTGCATTGCAGCGCCGAATTTTAAAGATAAAAAAAGGTATTTCAAAATGAAAAAACAGCTTTTTAATGAGTCTAATGTGTTTATGGTTTATTAATGGTTATGGGAATGTTTTTTTTTTTTTTTTTTACAATGCTGCAGTGTAAAGGTCCGCTTTAATACAGACAATTGGAGATTTCTCCTTCATGTAGGTCAGCAATAATATTTCCTATTAAATGTTTACTGTGCATAGCCATACCTTGTAGTTAGCGATGGTTGATCACCACATTGTATGTGAATAGTGCTGAGCTCCTGCATGCTACGTAGCCTTGTGGCGGGCACATTGGAATTGGGGAGGTGCGTTGTCTTCTTGTTCCGTCGAGAGCAGCAGGATGTAGTAAGTCCGTGATGACTGGACAATGATGGGCTACGGCTGGATGGGTAATTCTGCATGGATCCCTCCCTGCAGTTCTGTTCAAACATCTGTTCATCCATGAATTCGTGATTCTGTGGATAATATAAATATGTATGTATTAGAAATGCAATACATTGTCTTGAGGCCAGTGTGCAAAAGCATTCTTAAGTGAACCTGTGTATTTTCACTTCTCGTTCAATTTACATTCAAGCAATATTACCCTGAACGGATAGACCTATTAGACTTCCTTTGAACCACATAAAGGGAGCATGGTGATTCTGTAGATGGATGGTGAACCTCATCAAGATACCACTAAAGAGCACTAGTCTAATTGAGCTTAATCTACTGTATGTCTGAAGCCAGGTGCCCATCTGCAGTATATCTGAGATCCCTGTAGAGTATACATTACTCAGGACCACCAGTTCCCCCCAGCTTAGTCTATACTGAAAAGAGCAGAGGAAAAGTTGACACAGGTTTACTACAGCATGCCCTGTACACTTAGTGATAGCCTGTCAAAGAATTTGTATTATTTGCTGCTTTTATTGCTAAATATAATACCAAACATAAGCTTGGGAAAAGCACAGAAATGTAGCATTTGGAACAACTTGTCCACCTTGGCTTATGTTTGATATTCATAAAAGGTTAAGTATTTTAAAGCATTACCGCATAACTATAGCCTTTATTTTTACTGTCATACAAAACATCAGGTTTACAACACCTTAATGGAATTCTAAGATTCAGATATAGTTTCTGGTGGCAATTTAGAAAGGAAAGTTATTACATTGTAACTATAACACCAATAAGATTGCAGTATACTCTTTTATGGCAAGAACAAAACTAAAAATTGCGATAACCTTTGTCTTGTATGAGTATACTTTTGGATTTGTAATACGCTGACATTATTTTTAATTTAACAAATAAAGTAAACTCTCAGATTATTGGAAAAATAAAACCTGCAGAACATTTCCTCTCTCCAGCACTTCTATAACTTTTTTTCTGCCAACTGTGCAGTATTACTGTTATGAAGCTGTAGGTTCAAGAAGTGGAAAAAGCAATACATAGTTTGGTACCCATAGCTATAAGATGACTGTCTCCTGATTTAGCTGGTCACATGTTTATGGCATTCCCCACCACCACCACCACCACCACCACCACCACCACCACTTGTGTGCAGATATCCCAGGCTAACTAATCTTGGAGTAAAAATTCCTCATGCACAACAAATTTCTATAGGTGGTCCTCATTGTTCCCCCAAAATAAGGCCAAAACAAAATTGTATGTTAACCCTAACAATGAACGTGGTGAATTTACTTTGTCTGTTAAATATACCATTCAAATAATTTTAACACAAAATTGAAAAATACTGCACTCCATAGGTCCCGGCTGCAAATAAAATCTTTATTTAAGAAGCAAAAACACACCTTCCATTCCTCCCCATATGTCCTTAAACACTAACGCATCTCACCATTACAGATTACTCATAGAGATCTGAGTAACTCACAGATATATGAGTAAGCTGTAATGATGAAACATGTTAGAGTTTGAGGACATATGGGGAGGAATGGAAGTTGCATTTTTGCTCCTTGAATAAAGAACTTATTCCAGCGGAGACCCGTGAAGTGCAGCATTTTTTGAATCTGTGTTGCTATAAGCAATGGCGTGTTTCTTGCCTGCACCTGGACTCTAGTCATGGTTGAGAAATGATCTGGGAATGTGAGCGGTGTTTTGTGTGGATTATTAAAATCATTTTGTTATATCTGTTCCATAAGTGCAAAACAAACCTGTTGATCCTACCAGCAATTTTGATAGCTCCCGACAACAACCTGTGATTTCGGTTTTGATGCACTGTTATCAGTTAGCATTGTTCACCGTTCTCTCTGCGGACCACAGAATGACCCCCTCCCATGTTATGGCGAAAAAGAAAGGGAAAAAAGTGTTCCGTAACTAACACTTCCTGTCCTATGGTGACAATGCCACTCCTTCATAGATGAAGTACGGTGAGTGAGCATTGCACCCTCAATGGAAGTGTGCTACTTGTCAGATCAGCAGGTGAAAACAAAGTGAAAAAAGCTTTAACAAAGAAATCTAAAGCAGCTACTATGTCTAAGGACTGGTAAGCTACAATATATTACATGATTGCTCTTGGGTTTAGATACACTTTAAGCTAAGTCTGCACAGACCACAAAACGTAAGCTTGGCCAAAGTAATAATGCCTATTTACTATGATCGGATTGATTTGAGGCAGGGGTAGGCAACCCCGGCACTCCAGCTGTTGTGGAACTACAAGTCCCATGCAGCATTGCAAGACTCTGGTACCCACAGGCAGTCAAGGTTGCATACCCCTGGTTTATAGAATGATTGTTCAGTGATCAGATCTTCCTGTTGTCATCTTATGTCTAAGGGTACATCAAGAGAGTGGCAGACTAAGAGCCAGCAGACATTTTTCAAGAGTCACTATAAAATCTGTTTTCATTGGCAATAGAAAGGGCATAAAAAGGAACGAGCAATATTTTATTGACTTTCTGGCTCATTGGATTTTCATACCTAACATGCTGGTAAACAGATATTTTTATACAAAACGCTCTTCTAAGCAGGTTGGATCCGGTACAGGAGACAGACAAATACAGCACATACCAGGGATGTATGTAAGCAAAGTAAGCAAGTGAAAACCAAGAGTGGGCATTTTCACTGGTTCATGTATAGTATTTTTAGGCCATGTATGCAGTCACTTGACAGTGCAAACTAGATACATCTCCCATGTGAGAGAACCATTCATAGGTACCACAAATTGAATAAAGTCTACAGCACCAATGCATGTAGCAACTGCAGTTCACCTTCATTGTCTCTCAACACTAAATCGAAACAAACACTTTATTCATGTTTGTTTACTGGATAATAGCCAATGACACATTTGTTTTCTATAGCTAGCGCTAATGAAAACTAGGAAGACTAAACCTGTGAATTTACCCATCTTTATTCAAGAGACATGTATTGAAAAAGAAAATAAGTACCTTCATAGTGGAAGTCTGTACAGATAACAGGGAATCATCCACAAGATAGGACAATCCCTACAGGATAACATGCCAACAAAAGATAAGAACACGATTGGTTGTACATTCCAGCATTCCATTCCTCAGCTCCAACATTCCATATTGCACATGCCAGTTTTTAGAGAACAATGAGACTCTTCTGAGAAACACCTTAATCAGTTACTTTTTTTCAGTGGGAGGGAATACATATTCAAATTAGAAATACATGATCAGATTGTTAATTAAGACCTGAAATGTATAATTGTCATTTTCAGCTTTTTTAACCGACAGTATATAAGAAGATGTGTCAAGCTTAATTTTGGAATTCTTGAATTGCATGAATATATTAGGTAAATATCCAGTCTGTTTATGAAGATAATTAGTGTAGTTATACTATACTGTCTGTTCTGAATTGAAAGTTTTGCTATTTAACTTGCTGCTGTATGGCCAACTTAATTGCTGGTTAATGGTCTGATGCACATTCTAGGTGAGTGCATTTAATGTGTCTTATACTTACTCCTTTCCCTGAAGTGAGCCTATGCAGTCCTCCCACTGTAGCTCCGTTAAATACTTGTAATAAATTAGTCTCCTTGTTCTCAAAAAATAGTTATGATTCATAGAAAATTTCATAAATGATGAAAACAAGTGTTGGTTTGAGAATTGTCCCCGTTGGGATACTAGTCCTTGGACCTAATTTATAAAAACCAAAGTCAAGACCATTATAAATGTTTTTTCTAGCAACTAGTTTAATTCTTGCTATCATTATTCTACTACAAGCTAGAACCAGCACCAATATCAGTACTACTATTTGTTCTTATACTTTACCCCTCATGTATGTTGTGGTGGAAGGGCTTCTTGTGCCCACTATGACACATCAGGAAACATTATGGTACATAAGATCATTGCAAGACTGGCATATTTATGATATTCTATATGGCATATTTACTTACAGATGTAGAAACAATATGCAGCCGTGGTGTAGCTGTGCACTGATTATTATGTAACTGATGAAGTATTGTGCAACACATTTACACCTACTGTAGGAGAAATTGTCAGGTCTGCCCTAATAAAAATATTAATCTCTCTAAAGCTGAGCTTAACTCAGTCTGCATAGGCCTAGATGGGAATTTTGTATATTACCATGTGGTTACACCACTCTAGCATGCCATGTGTTATTTATATATGAGTTATAGAGATTTGAGCACAAACATTCTTTCAGTCCTACTGCATAGTGCAGGTCATTGACCAGACCTGGGTCCAACTGTGTCAGTTTGTCTCATATTGGCATTTTATTTCCATTAAAGTACTGTATGTTATGAGCTAACAAGTATTTGGCATTCTGCAAAGTAGAGTAGGGACTGGCCAGAGAGCGATCACCTCGATACTACTGGCCAAAATGAACATGTATTGCAACATATGCTAAGAATCTCTGCTTTTATGCAAAATAGGGGTCAACTAATTTTAACTTGATTCAACAGTCCTCAAAATGAATCACATATGTCTATATACAAATGTCCACTAGAGGATGCTGTTACCCATCTGTATACAGCAATTAAAATGTGGAAGCAAGCAAATGCGGAAGTAAAACATTACTTTTTATATGGTAGAACATAAGACTATTACTCTGAATAAAGATTGATTGAAATATTCAGGATACTGTCTTATATTTATGTTGATCACATCCATTTTATGACAATTATAAAAACACTTTCAACCAGCTTTCGATCACAATAACAAAATGGATCAATGCACCAGCAGTTTCTCTATTTATATATATATATGGCAGTGATAATGGCTAGTTGAACATGGTTGACATTTTTAGAAATTGCTATATTGTCAGCATTAGAGTTTAGAGACTGATATTGCTCTACTTCATTAAATTCTTCTTGGCAGTAGAGAAAATTAGAATCTGTTTTGAGTAGGGAAATGATTTAACTTCTTAGCTATCAGTTTCAATAGATTGACTCTTTCTTTGGTTTACAAATGCAAATGTTTGTTTATACAAGAGAAGAACATTTTGTCAGTCCTGTAAAGATACAAGGGCTTAGGTCAACATCACTATTATTCTGGCCATATGTGGATAATTATATGAGTGGTAGCTTTTACCTAGTGATGCAGTTCCAGTTCATTGCTACCATGGGTTTGAGGCGAATCTTGTGGGTTTGAGATTCGTGGCCCTATCAAATTTAAGTGCAGATTCACCCAGGAAAATGTGTTTAACCATAAAACACTACATAGCCTTTGAACAATGGCCAGTAAGCTTAGAGCTTAGTTTAGAAAAGCCAGGAAGCTGGCTTTTCAATAAGCAAGCCCCGTCACTATAAATGTTGGGGGCAAAGAGCAGCCACAGTGTCACTCTATTGGAAGATGCTGTAGGGAAAGCTAACATTTTATTTTTTGCAAGGCTTCCCTTTAAACAAAAATGGTATTTTGTATAAGAGGGGTGGTATCATTTATTTTGTGGGTAAACTGGTTTTGATTTTCTTTTTGGTAGGGACTTTATTTTAGGTTTAAGTGCTTTTATTTTCATTTTTTTGCAACAAAATGTAAAAAGTGGGCTTTTGTTTCGTGTGGTATTTTTGGGTTTACATTTCTCTTGGGGTATTTCTGATGTGTATTTTAAGTTGATAGGGCCTTTTTTAAAATTAACTTGTTTTAAAATTAATTTGTTACTGACTATCTGTTTGTGGAGCTGTCCCTCCCCCCCAAAAAAACAAACAAACAAAACTAAATACAAGGACAGTGTGGACCTAAAGCACCCAATAAAAGTTAGGCATATATCTGTTAGGCTGATTTTTACTGATTAAATTGTACTGCAGTTGGCAAATGTAACACTGCTGTATCTTTTGCAATATTTTTGCAGTAAAACCCCTTCCTGTGCTCTTTTCTATGGTACATTTTAGCCAATTCTTCCTCATTAAAATGTCCTGCTGCTGGCCACTTTTACACTGTTGTATCATCTGTGGTCTCTTAATTATCTTAAATAGAGTTTGGTAGAAATTGGCCAGTGTCAGAACAGTTTTGCATCAGCAAGAACAGGGACATACTCGGTGAGCAACTGACCGGTTTCTCTCTGCTGTTCAAAGCTATTACTGTAAACTAAAATTAATCAGATTAGGGTGTTGCTACTGTTTGTAAGCCATGGCAAAATTTTAAATTTGTTTTCATTGGTCCCCCATAGCTGGTCCCAGTTTTCTATGCCTTTTTATGAACAGTAGTTTACCTATTTCTCCTAAAAATGGCCAGAGTTTACTAACAGGATTCGTCCTGCATAGATTTTCAGGAAATTCACTGCTGTGTTTGGGTTTGCTGAATTTCAAACTGGATTCACCTTTGAAACCCTTTATAACAACTATGTGCTCTATATACAAAAAGTAATATTCTTATTCAACATTAGTTGCTTTGGTATAAACAAAATCAGGTCTTCGTATAGATATTTCTTATTTGCTGCAGTACAAAGAAAGAAACTCTAAAAAATTTAGCAAAGCTAAAAATTTCTGTAGATGCTATAAAACAAGTACATTAATTTGGAGACTTATTAAAATCCACTCTTGAAACACCACCCCAAATAAAAAAATATCTACAAAGTTTGGGCACAAATGTCACTCAGGAAAGCCAGTGGGGTGGGATGAGTAAAGCCTTTTCTCTCATCTTTAAGATAAGTAACCCTTATATCAATGATCTTTCCTTGACCCAGAATGGAATGGGGCATACTTTCCACAAACCACTACGGTAGTGTAAGTGGGCCCTTCTCCCACTAATCACCATAGTAAAGACTTCAGCCCGGGAAGACCAAGAAAAAACTATGTCATGGCCCCACTACCCTGCACTCACAGTATATTGATGCAGTTAGCTGCACTGATGTTACCACTTCAGTGTCACATTCTGCATCATCCAGGACTGCCATATACCAGAAGAAGACCACAGGAAAAAAGGACCCAGTGCATCACATGACCAGCCAGAAATTAAAAAATGGTAAGTGAAAAAAAAAAGCATAAAATACACCTGGGGTGCCTCAAGGGGGAGAAGAGCCACTTGGGAGAGGAAGCACAGATGCACGAGTTGGACATAAAAGCTATTCCCAAACAGGTAAGCAAAAGGGACTCCCAAATCCCAAGATAACAGACAAAGATAGAGGGGTAGACTAGGGCTTTTCAGCTAGATAGAAAACTTAAGCCTTAAGAAAGTAGATTGCATTTACAGTTTGCATTTTATCTGTCAGTTTTCAATTTTGCCTGGAATGAACTTTAAAGTGTATGTAAAGCCTAACCAGAGACTTATTTGCTTTCTTTTGGTCTGCCACATATACTATAAAATATATATTTTTATATCTGTTTGATAAATGCAAAAAATACCTGTTGATTGTCAAAAATTCGGGGTTGTGCTGTGTCTTATGCATGCTTCCTGTGTTTTATCAAGGATCCTTATGAGCTAGTTGTTATCTTGGACTATAGATAGTACTTATGTTGTAGATATGGAAAGAAGGGGCATGATAAAATAGTTTAGTCAATTGAAACTGGGCAGTGCTGACACTAATCAGTCCACAAAACTACTGTGTGTTGTCAACAAGCCAACAGGACATAGGAGGTATAATGTGCATGTATTGCTGAGATGTAGAGCATTTACCCTGACATACACTGTGAGTAAAGTTACCACTAAATATCTCAAGATTAACGTCTACTTTTCTTAAACTAACCATTATATAAAAAAAAAAGATCTCTAATCCATTTAATGTATCCAAATTAATTTTGGCTGATAAGTTCCCCACCAGGATTTCTATTGCCAATGTATTTTACAATATCCATATTAAGGGATTATCTATACCATCCTAGAGAGAAAAAAATGTGTTTAGCAGAATGCAAATTAATTTTGCATTTGCAAAATGCCCACCCTGCACTTAATATACCATTATCTAAATCTATTTATGCAAATCCCCTGTTTGGAGATATGAGAAAGATAAGAAAAATGATAACTTATACCTGTAGGCTTGATGATAGAAGTTATGTCATTTTTTTCTATGTAGCCCCTTTGTGAGAAAA